GTAGACAGGGAGGGAGAAGAGGATGGGACAGAGGGAAGGATGGTGCACACATTTGTTCACTCCTGTGGGCCGAAGGGGGATGGAGATGGGATGAGATGAGAGAGGATGCACATGTTCACTCACACTCACGGGAGGAGGGAAGGAAATGGGATGGGATGGGGTGTCCCCTTTCTTCTGCTGACCTGCCCCCACCCCCCTTTTCTGCAAAAGCAAATGAGCAAAGGATTACCCAAATAGCTGGGCCCAGTCATCCAACCAATATTTATTTATTTACTCTATTTATACCCTGCCTTTCTCTACCCTGAAGGGGACTCAAGATGACTTACATAGAGACAATTATTCAATGCCTTAAAACACACACAATTCCAAAAAATTAAAGTTAAATTAGAAAAAAATTAAAACATATTAAACATTTAAAAACATTCAGTTCCATCTGTGTGTATGTATGTGTGTCTAATACAGATTTTCCACATTTGTGGGAGTTTGTACCCACAAAAGGATGGCTGTAGTAATAATAATTCTCATAGAGATAAGATGGTAAAACCAGTTGCCCAGTAACATTTCACACATCTAATGGGAGCAAAGCACATGGTTGCACACTATTCAAGAGCAAAGTCAAAACGCCTACCCTCGACATCTCAGTGTGCAAGAGGTTTTGTTTTTTTTTGACAAAGTATTTGAACATCTGCACCTCCCCACACATGCCTACTGTTTGGAGTAGTACAACCCATGAACAATGTTTTACTGTTTTACTTCTTAAAGAGTGATAAAAGCATCCACATGAATCCCTTTTCATGCAAACACGAGAGAATCCTCATCTTTTCCAGTTTTTTCTTACTGTAGAAGGTTCCATTTCTTTCCAGAAGAAATGTGATGAAAATGATTGTTGCTAGTTTCATGCAATTCTGGTTTCATTTTTGCTGTGTAGAGCAGATATCATTGAAGTTTTTTATAAACTTCAAGACTAAGATGAAGTTACTGTCTAGGTTATTGCTGATCCTTGTGATACTTCTAGCACTCAGGTGTCATTATAATCAGTAAATTTAAAATTACCTGGCCCCTACATGACTTATTTTTTAAAAGAAATCCTCATGTTTGTCAATACAGTGATCCTTTAATTTTGTTTTTTTAAGATCTCTTACTTTTAAAAAGACAATTGAATACATAAGTGTCTTATGTATTCCCCCTCCCCTTATACTTCAAAGAATGGTGTGTGTGCATGTATGTATCTATCTTTCATATGCTTTATTAAACAATTTGATTCTGTCTTTCCTCCCAGGAGCTCAAGTTGATACATCCCATTTCTCCCGTTTTATCCTCAGAACAACCTTGTTAGGTAGAATAGTCTGATATTTTTAAATACATATTTATATTTTAATGATTTTAATAATAGGAACCAAGAACAAACCAAGATATTGAAAACGCTGTACAGCATAGAACTAGCACACAAAAACTATAGTAAATACTTAAGGATCTAAAATCAAACGGAAAATGAAGCAACACTGTAGGTAAAACCACAAGCCTGTAATCTATATAAATAAAAATGTAATGTTCATTTGTGGGATGGACATAACTCAAAAACCACTGGATGAATTGACACAAAATTTGGACACTACACCCCTAACAGACCAACAAGTGACCATCATTCATAAACCCCTCCCCAAAAAATAGTGGAAGGGACTTAAAAACCCAAAAAAGCTAAATGACAATACAGCGCATGTGCAAAAACGACAGCTACCAGCATCCCCTAGACCAGGCCCTTTAGGGGAGGAGGATGCTCCGACTGCACTATTTCCAAGCTGCAAGCTTGCTTCTCCTTGGAATTTCTTGAGAGCATTCCAATATTTCCTATTCCTGGACTGCAACTCCCTGTAATCCTCCAGATAGATAGAGATAGATAGTAGGTAGATAGATCAATAAATCAGGAGGACTTCTGGGAGTTACAGTCCAAGAATGGGTAGAGAAAGAAGAAAGGATAGAAAGAAAAAGGGAAGGAAAGGGGTAGAAAAGGAAGGAAGGAAAGAGAGAAGGAAAGAAAAAAGGGAAGGAAGGAAAGAGTGGGGGAGGGAAGGAGAGAAAGAAAGGAGAGAAAGAGGGAGGGAAGACTGGCCACAGCAACGTGTGGCTGGTACAGCTAGTATGGAGCTAAATGGCAAATACTTAGAAGGCTTGGAGGAACAAAGACATTTTAATTAGTTACAGAATAAAAACAATGTTAACTGGAACATTTTAGGAAGAAAAAATATACACCAACTGAAAAACTATTATGCTTCATTGACATTTTTTAGCATCCATAAATTTATCAATAAAGCTAATATATTGATTTCATTGGTTTGACTGGCTACTCTGGATAAAACAGAGTTTAAGTTCTTTGGATAGGCATTTCATCCTCTTCCTTAGCAGCTCTTTCTCCCCTAGGTATCATGATCATGACTAGTTCATCATCTTTTCTATTGAACAACACATGCATGGCTTTAGTCCCCATGCATCTTGAATTTGTACTACTTAGACAATTTGTAACTTAATTTAGCGGTTTCCTTTTTTCACATTATAATTTCTTACTTTGAAAAACTGTAAACACAGCTTGATCAATACTGTAGCTCTGTTTTTGTCTCTCACAGATCAGGAGTGGGTAGAAAATAAAAGAGTGGGCATACTCATTGGATGGTATATTGATCCATTATGTCTCTTTACTGTCAAGAGAATCTCAAGTACTCTGTGCTAGAAGTGCCAGATTTCACCAATTCTAAGACACACTTCCCCCTTCCCCAAAATCAAGGTTAAAAAGGGGGAGAGCATCCGAGTATCACCAGCATCCTAGATTTTCAGGGTTTTTTTAAAAAAAAGATCAGGAATGGCAGCTGGGGCTGTGAGAGTGGGAGGGAAGGAAGCAAGCAGGGAGCCACCAAGCTTCACCCCAATCTCTCAGCTGGCTTCTCCCCTTTCCTTCAGCTGTCTTTTTCCAGATCTCCCAGCTGGCTGAAGGAAAGGGAGAAAGCCAGCTGAGAAATCAGAGAAAGCCAGCTGAGAGTTCGGGAGTCTGTTTTCTTTGAGGAAAATCTTTTTTCCCCCTAAAATTGAAGCTCTAAAAAGAGGGGTGCATTTGGAATTGGTGGTGTCCCAGATTCAGTGAAATACAGTATCTGGCCATTGTTATCAGTCCTATATTTTTGTATATCTGAGAAACAGGTAGAGAATAGAGCTTGGAAAATTATGAAGCCAATATGATTTAGTTCTGGACTACCTGGAAGATTGTAAGTCCATGTATGAGGCAGTCTGAGCCCTGAGAGCATCAGAAAAGGCTCCTCTCTAATTTTCACCACTTTCATAGATATGACTGGTGAAGCTTTGAAACTCTCAGAAAAGCCAGAATGGCCCACCCATGCCAGCCTTCTGTTGGCAGAAAAATACTTATAGAATATAAGCTGGGTAATAGAATGTTTTTAAAGCAAGGGCGTTAGAGTGTTGTTGAACTATTTTACTGTATTTTTGTCCTTTCTGAGTGTAACATGTTTTTAATTTGTTTAACTACTGTGCAGAGTTTAGTCTATTTAAAAGTTGGCTTCCATATGTTTTTAGCTGTGTTATTTAGTGCTCTCAAGTTGTTTCCAGCTTAAGGTGAATCTATCGTGTTTATTGTCATTACTGTGTGCATTCAATTCGTTTCTGACTTTAAGGTGATGTTAAAATGAGCCCATCATGGTGGTTTCTTTGTAAGATTTGTTCAGAGGTGAGATAACTAGACCATGGTGGCTATTGTAATAGTTCTAAATTGGAAGCTACCTTGAGTCCCAATTTTGAGAAAAAGGCAAGTGTTAGTAGAGAAAAACAACAGTACTTTTGTGGGCTGCAGCTTCCCAAATCGTATTATCTACTGCCTATGCTAACAAGGGGATTTGGGGAGATGTAACTATTTTTTGTCCAATCCGCCCATATCATTTGTCCATGTCATTTGCTGATGACAGAAAAATAGTGGCGTGCATCACTGAATCCTCTATGCAGGACAGCTTTCTCAATCCAACTGGAAGGGTTTGGACAACTTCCATCAGACATAACCTGCGTGCCTGTGATTCCTTGGATGTATCCCAGACATTGGATGGAGGCTTTTGGAAACAGTGGGCAACAGGGCACTTTGCCTATTTCCATCCTGGCCCCTTTTCAGTACTTAATCTAGATTTGGCTTCTCTGAGCCATGCTCCCACTTGGCACTCACTCATGGTTTTACTCTGGGCCCAGTCTGTGCCAGAGGGGTGAGGTGAAAAAACCTGCTGCTCCCTGCTCCTCTCTCTGCATGCAGAGGGCTGGTGAATAATGAGTCACAGCAAGAAAGAAAATTCACTGGCTATCCGGCTCTCAAGACCAGCTCACTGCTCCCTTTTGAGAAACCTGGGTGGTTGCCCCATAATGCAAGCCAAAAATCCAGTTCTAGACAAAAATAGAAAATCTTTAATAATGGCTCATTAATCAACATGTTTCAAAGCTAATTGTGGTTTTTTGAATAAAAAACAATAATATTTGCATGTTTGTTTTGGCTTGTTATGTTTTTTGGGGGGAGGGGGGTGTTGTTCTAGGTATTTGACAATGCAAGATTCTGGCAACAACCAGATTTTTTTCCTGATACGCCCACATTAAGCTGTTGTGTTGTTTATGTATGGGCGGCATGTTAGAATTGGGTGCAGAGAAGAGGAAAACAGACCCAGAGCATAAACTGGCATTTTTGAAGTCCGTGTGTGGGGGAGGTTGAAGATTTCCTTTTATGTGCTACCACCCAAAACAGTGCCCATTTCCTGTAATATATATAGCAGACCTGTATGCCTGATAAAAGCAGGACTTGAACATAGCCAGTGGGTTGTGGCCTTTGTTCCATCAGCTGTGAATTGATTTTTAGCTTGCTTTTTGCTGTACTTTTTAAATAATATTAAAGTACCACAATCTCGTAACACTTACAGTTTCAAGGTTTTGCTTAACTCCTGGTTTGTTTTCTCTGTCTTCTCTTTTAGCACGTTTGGAGTGAAAGCGAGGATTGCTTGCCTTTCCTGCAATTGGCTCAGGACTACATTTCTTCTTGTGGAAAAAAGACACTCCATGAAATACTGGAAAAAGTCCTCAAATCATTCAGACCTGTAAGTGTCTGTTTCCTTCAGCAAGAGGTTTCGGTCAATATGCTAGATCAGGGGTTCTCCAACTTTTTCAACTATGGAGCCCCCTTTAAAGCAAAAGTTTATTGTGAGGCCCCAATAAATCTTTATATATTATATATAATGTACGAATATCAGCCATGGGCATACTTTTTGATGCATTTTGACAGACAGGCCAGACCAGTGGCAGATAGATGGAGAGTGTCTGATTTTAACAGGCGTGTTTTTAATCAATTGTTTAATTACTGTTTTTAATATTTTGATGTATTGCTGATTGTTGATTGTTTTTATGTCATCGTCATCCTATGATGCTTTTGTGAGGCCGCCCTGAGTCTCCCCTTGGGGGTGAGAAGGGCGGGGTAAAAATATAGGAAATAAGTAAATAATAAAATTTGTGTGAACTAATTGAAAAAATCATGAACAAATTCCTATGCACATTGCACATATCTTGCTTGTAGTGCAAAAAAGAAAAGAAAAGAAAGAAAGAACCATACAATATTTAAAATAAAGAGCAATGTTAGCAAACATAAATATAACAGTATTTTAGTGGAGGACCACAGGAGCCACCCAGTCCCAACTCCATTCTGCCATGCAGTAAAAGCACAATCAAAGCTCCCGCAACGATGGCCACCCAGCCTTTGTAATTATAATTATAGGAGCAACGCCAGGTGCCATCCAGTCCTACCCCCTTCAGCCATGCAGAAAAAACATAATCAAAGCACCCCCAGCAGATGGTCACCCAGCCTTTGTAATACTACTACTACTACTACTACTAATTATTATTATTATTATTATTAAAGCAGAAACCCCAGAAGCGATCCAGTCCAATCCCCCTTTGCCATACAGGAAAAACACAATCAAAGCATCCCAACAGATGACCATCCAGCTTTTGTAATAATAATAATAATAATAATAATAATAATAATAATAATAATAATAATAGGAACAGAAGCCTCAGAAATCATCCACTCCAGTCCCCTTCTGCTATGCAGGAAAAACACAATCAAAGCATATACTTCGTAGAGCCCCAAGGGCTCCACGGAGCACACTTTGAGAACTGCTCTGCTAGATATTAAATAAAACATGGCTACCATCGTTTCCCCAAAGTTCTCTTAAATCTGTTAAATCTTCAAATGGCTTCATTTTACTTCCCTGTCCCTCTGTTTTCCAAATAGAGATAAGTATGTGAAACAGGAAGCAAAGAAAATGGTTCCTAGCCATGAAGTGTGGTTTGATGGGCAGGGGACAAGATGCAATATGGTGTACAGGACTCTGAAGAACTGTGAAGTGGCTGGCTATACGAGAAAGCCTATGTAATAGAGTTATTTCCAGAGGCCCATTCAGATTACAGAAGTATAGTGCTGTGATTCCACTTTTAACTACAATGCTTCCATCCTGTGGAGTTCTGGGAACTGCAATTTAGAAAGGGCATTTAGAATTCTCAGCCAGGGCACTCTAATGCCTTACCAGAGTACAAGCCCCATGCCAGTGAAGGTGAAATAGTAATGTTCTCTTTATGTAAATAGGCCCCTAGTCTTTCTGTTATGGGATTTCACAAGACCTGTTCTTCCATTCTCTATCTGAAAATAATAAAGGCAAAGGGTGGGCTACTTTAAATGAATGTAGGTTTCCAGGACCAGATTAACTACATCCAGGAGTATTAGAAGTGCTGGCAGAAATAATCTCAGAATGACCGGCAATCATCTTTGAGAATTTCTGGAGAACAGAAGATCCAGCTGACTAGGCCAAATGTTATCTCAATGTTCAAAGAGGGGAAAAATGAGGGCCCAAACAATTTTCACCTATGTGTTGTCTAAGGCTTTAATGGCCAGAATCACTCGGTTGCTGTGAGTTTTCTGGACTGTATGGCCATATTCCAGAAGCATTCCCTTCTGACATTTCACCTACATTTATGGCAGGCGTCCTCAGAACATGAATCAAGGAACATGAAAGGGACTGCTGACTAACTCGACCTGAAAGCCAGCCATAGCAGAGCACCTAATGAACCAGCCTGGACACAGCATATTATTTGAGAACACAGAAATGCTGGACCAGTCTAACAACTACTATGTCAGACTACTCAAAGAAGGCATTGAAATCCACAAGCATGTGGGCAATTTCAACAGAAAGGAGGAAACAATGAAAATGAATGAAATCTGGCTGCCAGCATTTAAAAACTCTGAAATCAGGACAGTAAATAAAGAGCAACACTCAAAAACAGGGGAATTTCAGACAAGAACCAATCAGGGCCAGCTAACACCTCCCAACAAAGGACCTCCCTCAGGCTGCAACCATCCAGGCTTTGAAGCTGCAAGGCTATTAAATGCTAATGAAGGTGGCCAATTGCAGCATTCACACTTGCCTCAAGCAGACAAAAGTTCTTTCTCTAACCGTGGACATTCCACAGACATATCAACCTCACTTGCCTAGTTTCCAACAGACCTCACACCTCTGAGGATGCCTGCCATAGATGTGAGTGAAATGTCAGGAGAGAATGCTTCTGGAACATGGTGTACAAACTGGAAAACTCACAGCAACTTAATTTTCACCTAATCAGCCAGGAATTTTTTTAGAGCAAATCATTAAACAGTCTGTAAACACCTAGATCCGAATGCCAACACAACATGAGTTTATAAAAAACAACATGAGTTTCCCAAAAACAAGTCATTCCAGGCCAATCTCTCTCTCTTTTTTATAAAGATACAAGCTTTGTAGATGAAGGGAATGCTTTGGATGTATCATGTCTTGATTTCAGTAAAGCCTTTAACAATGACTGCCATGATATTTTTGCAAACAAGCTAGTAAAAAGGGGTCTAGAGACAATGCTATCAGGATTTATAATTGGTTGACCATCTGAACCAAAAGGATGCTCACCAAAGGTTCCCTCTTCCCCCTGTAGAAATGTGACTAGTACGGTGCCGCAGGGTTTGATTCTGGGTCCCGTGCTATTTGACATCTTTATAAATGGCTTGATGATGGAATAGAGGGTGGGCTTATTATTTGAAGATGACACCAAATTAGGAGGTGTAGCTAGTACCTCAGGGGATAATATCAGAATTCAAAATGACCTTAATAATTAAATTATCAAAATGAATTTCAACAGAAATCTTTCCTCTACAAGCCACTGATCTACCTTCTAATTTTGTCTTAATTCATGGGACGTTTCAAATACTGTGCAAAAATTATTCTTGAATACCAGTGATATTGCCAAGTGTTACTCTTTCACATGACACTTACGGTGTATTTCTTTTTCCCCACTTTACAAACAGCTATTGGGGCTTCCAGATGTAGATGATGATGCATTTGAAGAGTATAATGCAGATGTGGAAGAAGAAGAAGCAGAAGCCGATCACCAGCAAATGGGTGTCAGTCAGCAGTAATATTAAGAGGAATTTAAAATATATATATTATCCTACCATGTGGGGTCTTATGCTTCTGTATTAGCCTTTTTGAAATTAGCACATCACACCAGAAAAAGCTGGCTTCCAAACCCAAAGTTAAAAAAAAAAACAGAAAAGAGAAGAAAACCATCGATATTTTAAAGTCTGTGATGAGCTTTGCTAAGAAGTGGCCTGAATTCACTCCTGCTTCAGTGAGGTTTCTATGGCGTTGTCTTAGTAGCATTCTGCCATTATCTTAGAACTAGGGTGTTTTCCCCCCTCGCTGACTGTCTTTTTGTTGTTGTTACGATTATTATTATTATTATTATTATTATTATTATCATTTTGTTTATTTGTATAGGAGAATTAACATTTCACTGACCTGAATGTGATTTGAATGTAGGAACTATTTGGTTGACGTGTTAAGTACTTGCGTGACCTTAACGAGGACCATCCATGCAGAGAATAAATGCAATCTGCACTTTCAGTTTAGATCTCTTTCTCTTTATTATGTCAGACCAAAACAAACTTAACAGGGGTTGTTTCAAATGAATGGCTTGCCAACAAAAGGCACAATCCAGTCAAAATGCAACATTTCTCAATGCATTCATGTCTGTGGGATGAATGATTTAAACATGTACTCTATTTCACTGATTTCACTGAAAAAGAGTAATGCTTAGCAGATTAGGAGGAGATCATTCCGTACCCTTCCTTTGTTATCTTTTCCTTTAAAGATGTTCGCTTTGCTTTTGGTTTAAGAGTGGTATACAGGCAGTCTCCAAGTTACAAATATCCGACTTACAGTAACTCATAGTTACAAACAGGGGGGTGAGACAGCAGGAAGTGAGAGAAATCTACTGCTCAGAAGGGTAATTCACTCCTGAAAGAGTTATCATGGGGAAACGGTATCTCCACTGAAGCTTTCTCACCACATTTTTTCAAAATCGAATTATCACAGTGATGGAAAGTGAGGTAAAATCTTCAGAACAGGGGCACAGAGAGCAAAACAAACACCACAATGGTGTTAACTTTTCCCCATGCTACCCAAAGCAAAAGAATATACAAATATATTTGGATGGAGCTATAGTTTAAAATGCACCTATTCTGACATACAAATAAATTCAACTTAAAAACCAACCTATCTTGATCATAACTTGGAGAGTGCCTGTACTGAAATATCTGCAGTTTTAATCTCCCTAGTCTGGAAAGATAGCAGAGAGGGGATCATTCTGTCTTCCGTGTGCAGGGAGTTTGAATTTGGAGACAGCCAACGAGAAGGCCCACGCTCTTGTTCCCACCAACAGAGCTTATGATGGAGGTGGGACAGGGAAATGGGCCTCTCCTGATGATCTCTGGACCCAAGCAGGCTTATACAAGGTGATGTGGTCAGCCAAATAGCCTGAACCATAGCCATATAGGGCTTTAAAGGCCATAACCATCACTTTAAATTGTGCCCAGAAACAAACTAGCAGGCACTTCTGAAGGACAAAAAATCAATTGCAGTACATTGGAAAGAGCACTACCACAACCTCGTGAATCACAGCTCCAATGTTGCCAAAGACGTTCTATCACAAATCCCATAACAATAAACCAGGGATGAGCTTGCAGCACTGCCTAGTTTAGAGGAAGTCAGCAACACCATCAGCCAACAAAAAAATAACAAAGCCAGTGGACCTGATGGGATCCTGCTGAAATTTTTAAAGAGGGTGGACTTGAGCTGACAGAACAACTCCATCAGTTCATTGAAAAAACGTGGGTAACCAAGAAAATCCTAGCTTTAAGGATGCCACCATCATCACCCTTTTCAAAAAGGGAAAGAACAGACCACAGAAACTATGAAGGTATCCCCCTTCTAACCTCAGCAACCTGACCACAGTTTTTGGACCAGCTGAAGTTTCCAAGCACTCTTTAGATGCAGCACCACATAGAGTGCATTATAGTAATCCAAACAGGATGTAACTAAGGCTACTATGACCAAGTCAGGCATCTCAAAGAACAGGCACAGTTGGTACAAAGTTTTAAAAGGTGGCTTAAGTGTTTTAATGGACAAAACCCCCACAAAAGAACCCCTCTTAAAGCATTAGATATAATGAGAACACATTACATATTGCACTAAAATTAGAGTAATGTATTTGCGTTTACAAAAATAATGTTGTTTTACTGCCAAACAGCCCCACACAGGTAATGTTACTTGTAATGCATTTCCTTCAAGCTGTGAAGAAATGGGAATTTACAAAGTAAAAAAGAATTGAATATGCATTTCCTAGGAGACTGATAATGCTGTGTATTATAAGATTAATAGACCAATACTTAACATTACTCATTACTACCCAGGCCTTCGGCTGGCTCTCTTACGACCAGGTGATGTAACAGTCTCAGAGTGACCAGCATCCATCCAGAGAGCTGGTTTTCTACAAAAACACGTGTAACACATTAACACTGAAGTCCACCCAGGCCTTGTGGATTCAGCTTTTATAGCTGCACCCTCCTGGAGTTGCTGGGTCACACCCAGCTGGAAAGGGCCTGGAGCTGATGTCTACTTGCGAGGAGGTCCAAAGCCAGAAACAGAAGATCTGACTGGAGATATTCAGGCCTCTTCTACAGCAGCCACAGCAGACTCCTCCATATCATAAACCAATACAATATATCCCTGTTTTAGTTGACAGTTTTTTATTTCTTGATGCCAACATGTATCAATACAAGAGAACAACCTGACTGATAAAGGACTAATCCTATTTATCCCCCATGTGGTGGTTATTGGTCTTTCCTGTCATATCTATGTTACAATTAAGAGTGCTCAGAGTAAACAAATCAAATGATTTCATATATCATTGTTTAATATCCTTATTTTTTTAAAAAAACAGGTGAAATACAAATAAAAAATAATCACTGCAGTTTTGTTACATCCAAATCCACAGGGGATTTTTTACACACACACACACACAGCACCTTTTTGAAGAGCGTCTTCCCAGCATGCTGTTCTCCGGTACTCTCTTCCTTTATGGGAAATGGTTATAATGTGCTACCGATTCAGAATAGTGTCTTGTTATACTTGAGTGAGGTCACACTACTGGGTTCATTGCTTGATAATTGCAGTCACCATTTAGCGATTTGGAAAAACTGGCTGTCATTAGTCCATAACATGATCAGTCACCATGGATCATTGCTCCTCATTCTCATAAGCCAGATGTTTAAACATAATTGTACTTCCCTCTAAGTCTGTCTTAGGCCATAAAAAGTGGGGTTTTTCAGAAACTGGAAATAACGGGCTGGCATGACTGTAATTTGGGGCAACAGGTGGGAGTGCCTTGGAAACAACACTTCATGATCTAGGGGAGACCAAGGGTGGCTCCCGCATTGTTGAAGGCAGATTTACATTTAAATTTAGGTTTTGAAAGTAGCACAGGAACGGCTAGAACCAGTTGGTCTAATGACAAATTGAAATTATATTCTTGAATTTATCTTTGTTCTACTCAAGTGTAAGTACCCAAGCCATTGCTATACAAAAGGAGTAGAGAACTGGGAAAACTGTCATCTAATATCCTTCCCTCCAATGAGCAGTTGAGATTTATTTCCTGAAGTATGGACTGGTTGGATCTTCTTGCACTCTCAGAACTTTCCTCGAACACCACAGTTCAAAAGCATGTATCTTCCTTCGCTCAGCCTTCCCTAAGGTCCAGCTCTCACATCCATTGGTGACTACAGGGAATACCATTGCTTTAATTATGTGGATCTTGGTTGCCAGTGTGATGTCTCTACTCTTCACTATTTTATTGAGATTGGTCATTGCTCTCCTCCCAAGAAGTAAGTGTCTCCTGATTTCCTGGCTGCAGTCTGCATCTGCAGTAATCTTTGCACCTAGAAATACAAAGTCTGTCATTGCCTCCACATTTTCTCCCTCTATTTGGCAGTTATCAATCAGTCTGGTTGCCATAATCTTGGTTTTTTTATATTTAACTGCATCCCAGCTTTTGCACTTTCTTCTTTCACCTTGATTAGAAGGCTCCTCAGCTCCTCCTTGCTTTCAGCCATCAAAGTGGTATCATCTGCATATCTAAGGTTGCTAATGTTTCTTCCAGCAATTTTTACCCCAGCCTTGCATTCCCCAAGCCCCGCACATCACATGATGTGTTCTGCATACACGTTGACTAGGTTGCATGAGAGGATACAACCCTGCTGCACGCCTTTCCCAATCTTGAACCAGTCTGTTGTTCCATGGTCAATTCTTACTGTTGCTACTTGGTCCTTGTACAGATTCCTCAGGAGAGAGACCAGGTGATTTGGTATGCCCATCCCACCAAGAACTTGCCACAATTTATTATGATCCACACAATCAAAGGCTTTAGAATAGTCAATAACACAGAGATAGATGTTTTTCTGAAACTCTCTGCCTTTCTCCATTATCCAGCAGATATTGGCAATCTGGTCTCTCGTTCCTCTGCCTTTTCTAAACCCAGCTTGTACATCTGGCAACTCTCTCTCCATGTATTGCTGGAGTCTTCCTTGCAGGATCTCGAGCATTACCTTACTGGCATGAGAAATAAGAGCCACTGTATGGAAGTTTGAGCAGTCTTTAGCATTTCTCTTTTTTGATATGGGGATATAAGTTGATTTTTTCCAGTCTGGTGGCCATTCTTGTGTTTTCCATATTTGCTGGCATATGGCATGTATAGCTTTGGCAGGATCATCTTTCAAGATTTTAAACAATTCAGTTGGGATCCCGTCGTCTCCTGCTGCCTTGTTGTTAGCAATGTGAAATGTTATAGCAGACCATATACAACAAGAAGCATTCCAGCAATTTCCTTGAAGTTGCACGTTTATTATTTATTATTATTATTATTATTATTATTATTTATTATTATTATTTAAAAGTGGAGGACATGTATGAAGAAGAAGCTAGCATGGACTGGGAGGAGTCACGTCCCTCCATGTGCAGTTAAGTCAATGTGCTCAAAGTGCATGCAAAAACTATTTGTGTGGTAAGAAGAGGGGCTAGGCAGGCTTTCTCTCATTTCAGCCAAGATGAGCTTACTGCAGCAGAACCCATTTTAGGAGAAGTGTGTGATAACATCCTAAATCTCTAATGAAAAAATTCTTTTCTGCATCACTGGACAATTGTTAAAGCTTGGCCATGATGCCAGCAGAAACTCTCAAACCCGGACAGATGAGCTAGATCAGGGGTCCTCAAACTACGGCCCAAGGACCAGATACGGCCCCCCAAGGTCATTTACCCGGCCCTCGCTCAGGGTCAACCTAAGTCTGAAACGACTTGAAAGTACACAACAACAACAACAATCCTATCTCATCAGCCAAAAGCAGGCCCACACTTCCCACTGAAATACTAATAAGCTTATATTTGTTAAAGTTGTTCTTCGTTTTAATTATTGTATTGTTTTAAAGTGTTTTTGCACTACAAGTAAGATATATGCAGTGTGCATAGGAATTCATTCATTTTTTTTCAAATTATAATCCGGCCCTCCAACAGTC